AGATGAGAATTGGAGAAAATTATGAATAGCGATAGCCAGAAAATGTTTTTGGAAAAATTTTGGTCAAAATTATCATTTTTGGCAAGAATCAATTTCATTGTGAAAATTGACAAGTTTTCTGCAAATACTTTGGCTAACTAATACAAGCAATTTGAAGCCTGTTGATTAAAGCTGCATAATAGGACATAAAGCCTGGAATTATATTTACAATATACAATGTCAGCTAGAGATGGTACACTATACAGCTAAATGTAGTTGATTTCCCCAGACAAATCCTTATGAATAGCAGTTATTCAAGTCAGAGATTGCTTACATCATATATTGCAAACATCATATATTGCAATTAGAAAACCTAAATATTGTCATGGTGGATGGGCCAAGGGCACAAAATAATTTTTGAAAATCCCGTACAGCTTTTAGTTTAAAATGTCTGTATTTGAAAATGTGGTCACCTGCATCATCTATTGGACTTATATTTGCTTTGAAACTGTATCTAACCAACACTTTTTTTCATTTCATTACACTGATACCCGTGCACCATATATATAGGGTGTCTCAAAAAAATGTACCCAAAAGTATATCAACACCATAGACAAACCAATCAATATTTTCAGACATTTTTTGCATGGTCTTGTAGATAAAAGATGAAAGTTTTTTCCCCTATACACAGTTTTTAATTCAGTTTTGCCCTTTTGATACTTTAACCTGTTACCTTTTACACCACATATTCAATGTAACCTCATATTTCGATGACAGTCTGCATCCTTACTACTACATTGTTCATCACATTTGATATATCTGGTGGAATGTTTTGATTTCTGTTCGGATGCTGGTCTTCAGTTGTTCTAGGTCTCTTAGCTTGGGTTTAGCATAAAAATGGTTCTTCAAATAGCCTCAGAGAAAAAAGTATTGGCCATCAAATATGGTGAATAGGGAGGCCCTCGCGATGTCTTATAGCCCCCTTATACAGAGAGGTCAGAGGTTCAAGAAACTGCATTGCTTGGGATTCTAATGTAGCTTTTGTTTGTGTATCAATTTGAGACCACTGTGTTTTCATTTGGATATGATTTGGTCTCCAGGCTAGCCTGCCTAACTCTGGAGGGTAACTCCTGAATCATTTGACAATAATTTACCTGATTATCTGTGTTTGTTCTGCCATCGTCATCCTCAAACATCTTTCTCTTTGGCTATTTGAAGGAGTGTTTTAATGCTCATTCCAAGCAAAAAGACCTAGAACAGCTTAAGGGCAACATCCAAAGAGAAATCCAAAACATTCCACCAGAATTATTATCAAATGTGAAGAACAATGTAGCAGTAAGGATACAGGCTGTCATCGAAATATGAGGTTACATCGATTATGTGGTGTAAAAGGTAAAGGGTTAAAGCATCAAAAAGACAAGACTGAAAGAAAAATGGTGTATTGGGGAGAAAACTTTCATGTTTTGGCTACATGACCATGCAAAAAATGTCTGAAAATATTGATTGGTTTATCTGTGCTCTTGATATACTTTTGGGTACATTATATATATATATTCAAAGATGAAAGATGATGAAGTCATGATGATAGCTATTCTTCGTGACTCACCCATATTGATCATGTAGATCGTATTTACTCTACAAATGTTTGGTCCAAAGACAGGTAAATTCAAGAGGCTTCGGAAATGTCTGTTCAAGGAATCCAACTAACTTCTCCATTAGATCTTCTTACTACCTGGCTACCAGTCATCTTGATCCATCAAAGTATTACATAATAGTCAAAGAATACACTGTTTTAATACTATGGCTACAAGGAATAAAACTAGATGTTCTTATCAATGAAGCCTGCCAATTAAAAAGCAATCAATGCAAAAGTATGCTCTCTATCGACATAGAATCCAAAAATACAACAAAGACAGTGGCATAGCCTGGAGGAAAAAGCAACGAGGTGAAAAATATTTCAAAACTGTTAAAAAAACAATGAGGCAAGAGCCTCATGTGCCTCATCCTGGCTTCACTTCAATATTTCATTTAGATTAAAAAATGGTGGTAAATTATGATAGCAAGACAAGAACACGATGATTGATAACCTTTAATGTGATGAGATTATTCACAATTGAATCAAAATTTGATGACTTCAGATAAGAAATGGATAAAAATCATTTAAACTCAACATTGATAGAGGAATATTTCTCAAAGGATGCTAAAAAAGCCTCAACTCCATCCAGGTCGCACTTAAGATAGACTGCTAAACAGTAATACACATGATTGGGCGAGTGAACCATAACGTAAATTCCCATAACAGCTTTTCTTAATTCTATACCTCCCCTCCGGACCTCATCAATTTGAATGGAAATCCTGGGGATTTGTTTTGCTTATAAGGACTCTTTATGTTCAATTACTGAGAAAGTATGGATCAATTCTGTCACATTAAAAAATTCAATAAAACACAAACAAGTTGGTCATGACAACTGAGAAGTTTGGAAATAATCAACATGAAATACAATAATAATGATGATGTGTGTATATGGAGATATCTGTCTCATGGTAATTTCATCGTTAGACTTATGTCCTTTAGTTGGATCATCAGTAACGGATCTGTGGCAATCCAGATCAAACATTTTCACAACTTTGCAGCTAAAGTCACAAAATAGATTCATTTCATAAATTGCGTACATGTAGTAAGGGACCATTCACTCATTGTACTCATACATCAATGATAATTAATAGGGAAGCGAACAAATAATCAAGCCGTTAATGTGAGGGATGCATGTATACCACGCTTTAACACATACTATTTCCGTATCATTGAAAGCTATAATGTAATGTAAGCATATGTAATTTTAGTCATATAAGCTGTTCTCATGAAATAAAAAACAAAAGGGCAGAGGTTAAAAAATGAGACTGAGCTAGAAGTCGATAATCAATATTAAACTATTTTATGCCATATATGAATGTATGATTTTTTAAGGTAAAGTTACATCCCAGGAGTTACATTATTTGCCTCTCTGTGATTATATGATGCTTGGACAGATCTACCTTTAATTGACTGATAATGCTATGATTATGAGATATAATGATCATATTGCAAAACATATAAATATAAATACTGTACAAGTATAAACATGTGACATCTTTTCATATAACACTGTACTTAACATTCATATCATATGGATCAAGATATTATATTTATATATATATATATATTATCAACAGATATATTTCTAACACCATTGTTATACCTTTCTGCCTGTTAATTACTACATTAAGGGAGGAGAAGTAATATGATTTATTTGGCTAAAGGCTGTCTATTGAACTTCAATATATGGGGTTACCTTATCCTGGGGCTACTGCGACAATGAGGTTATTTATTTATTGTTCAATTTAATTATCATTATTTAATTCACATTTCCAGAGGTCAGCCATCTTGGATTAAGATCTTTCCTGGCAAGGATTTTGATTTCTTCAAATTTTCAAAATAGAACTGGTTGAATTAAAACCAAAACAACGGCAACGCCAAAGCGTAGCGAATCCCATCGAACATTTTTCAAAACTGGCACCTTCTACCAAAAGTGTCATTAGACAGTGTGCCATGCTTATAATATTCACATACCAAATATGAACAAAATCGCTCCACTACTTTTCGAGTTATAGTAAAAAACGTTAAAATGGCGGCCATTTTGAAAAATGGCCGCCTTCTACCAAAAGTGTCATTAGACAGTGTGCCATGCTGATACGTATTCACGTACCAAATATGAACAAAATCACTCCACTACTTTTCAATTATAGTAAAATAAGTTAAAATGGCAGCCATTTTCCAAAATGTCAGCCATTTTTCAAAATGGCCGCCTTCTACCAAAAGTGTCATTAGACAGTGTGCCATGCTTACAGTATTCACATACCGAATATGAACAAAATTGCTCCACTACTTTTCGAGTTATAGTAAAATACGTTAAAATGGCGGCCATTTTGAAAAATGACCGCCCTCTACCAAAAGTGTCATTAGACAGTGTGCCATGCTTATACGTATTCACATACCAAATATGAACAAAATCGCTCTACTACTTTTCGAGTTTTAGTAAAATAAGTTAAAATGGCGGCCATTTTTCAAAATGTCCGCCATTTTTCAAAATGGCCGCCTTCTACCAAAAGTGTCATTAGACAGTGTGCCATGCCTATAGTATTCACATACCAAATATGAACAAAATCGCTCCACTACTTTTCGAGTTACAGCAAAAATCGTAAAATAACGAGTAAAGGCCGCCATTTTTCAAGATGGCTGCCATGTGCTTTTTTAATATCTACATTTCTAGCTTTATTAATGTCCTATATAATGTTTTTACATCTAAAACATATTGCTATTACAGTTTTACATATTGCACCTAAATTACTGTAAAATCGGCACTAAAATGGCCGCCATTTTTAAATGAGTGGCCATTTTGAAAATCGGCTTTCGAGCAGAACTTCTACCCCCATAGGGTATATGTGTACAAAATATGAATAAAATCGGGCCAACGGTATTTGAGTTATTGCCCGGACGGATGGACGGACGTACGTACAGACGTACGGACGGACGGACGGACGGACGGACGGACGTAGGCGTTCCCTATATCCCTCTGAACTTCGTTCGATGGGATAATAAATATAAGTCAAGGTCGAAAAAGCACCATGGTCTAAATCATAGTGCCCGGACCAAACAAAAAAAAAATGTCGAAGTTGACAGACAGTCATTGATTATCTTAAATAAGCTATAAAACATTTATCAGTTCAGAAGCTACTCAATGTACATGGGTTTAACAGTAGAATAATTCTATTATTCCAGCTGAATAAAGAGGAAGATTACACTACAACACAGGATATTGAGAGGATACAAGCATATATAAAGACAACCTGCTCGATTAATACAACCTCAACGAAGCACAAGACAACATAGATCCATTCTATCACATCCCAGAGTCTGTCAATGGATTAATACAAAGAGAGGCTTTGGCCTTGGTATCTAACAATAATAAGTCATTTCTATATGGAGAGAAAACAGCGGGATATCCAGTAGATTATACTCTACATTGGGAGACTAGCATAAACTAGTATAAAGCACTAGTGTTCATCAATTCTGATCATCACATCGATTGATTAAATCTATAGCAATCAACAGTACACAAAGGAAGAAGGCAGGTGTTAAAATGTTATATACAGCACCAAGGGGGACACAACTCTTAGCAGGTACCAATACTGAAAATGTACCAAGACCCAGAGCAAGTTCAGCTCTTAATGTGAACGATGCAATGCGACCGCGGGCAAACACAAGTGAATCAAGGATGAGTCAATCGATGAGTGAGCAGTACCCGCCTGCCCGACCAACTACTCGCCCTAAGGTGACGATCAGGCCAAATATCCATCCCCTGGATGTTGTGTCCCAGGGAGGATCAGTCACTCCACCCCCATGTTATGAGCAGGCTGCACAAGTGGGATGTAAGCTGTCATATATTGACTTTAACCCACAGTTCCATCAAGACGTAGATGGAATATACTTTGACATAGAAATAGATAGATTCAGGTAAGCATAACTCATATATTAAGCTAAGCACATTTTGCAAGTTAAGGTAAAGCTAAAGCACATAGCACAATTAAATATTTAAGTTAACACACAATTCACAAATGCAGCTCAAAACACCACTCTTGCCTGAATATATAGTAGTCTATAGAGCACTGGTGGATCCAGGGGGGCTCATGCCCCCTCCTCTCCCTTAGGTTGCACCCAGAAAAAGATTTAAGGGCCAAAAAATTTTGAAAGGCCTCAAAAAATGGGTCTTTTTGGGCATAATTTGGCCTTTTTGGGCCTTCTTTATAAAAAGGCCTTAAATTTCAATATTTTTCACACTAACAGGGAATTTTTTTTCCTAACTTGAAATTTGCCCCCTCCCCTTCTTAGCTTCTGGATCCGGCATATGTTGTTATGCTGCAAGATGTAGTAAATCCTGTCTAATCAGTATAATAATAGTACTGGCCAAAGGTGTATGAATTTGGACTGTATTTGACTTTTTTCAGTGACCTGACCAAATATGCTAATAGATGGCTTAAGGAGCACCCGCAAGCTGCAGTGGTATCATGTGAAACTGTAGAAACGATGTACCATGGCAGAGTTGAGATCATCACAAGTGATGACTCAACCTTCTTTAGAGGAAGAATGGACATGCAAGATAAATATGCGAGGATTCTGAGGTACACTGAAACAAATCATTAAATAATTACAAGTTAAGGCAATGATGAGGACACGATTTAAGAGTTCAATACATGACTTCAGATTTAATTTTGTATATTGTTATTACTGAATAATCCCATGTGAACACCTCTCTAATCTGAAACACCTCTCTAATCTGAAAACCACTCTTATGTGAACACATCTCTCTTATTTGAACATCTCTCATATATGAATACCTCTCTTATATGATCACATATCTAATGCAAACACCAATTTAATATGAACACATTTCTAATGCGAACACCTCACTAATATGAACACCTCTCTAACGTAAACACCTCTCTAATAAGAACACCTCTCTAATGCGAACACCTCTCTCATCTGAAAACCTTTAGTGTACAACTTTCTAATGTTTTATAGCAGAACTAACCACACTAAATTAACACATACATCTATTACCATCCAGTGTATTACATGTATAATTTCTATAACATGATGCTAATGCATAATTCACACTCATTACTAGATTTTACAGTATTAGCATAGTGATAATCGAAGATATATTTCATCGATGATGCATGTATAAAATAATTTATTCTTCATCCCATAATGTCATGTAAATGTTGGTTTTATCAGTTAATAAATTAAAAAACAATTTCTTTTTTGTATGAAAAGTTGAAGTAGAAAAATAATCATATTTGTGACACCATAGATTTTGGTTCTTGCTATAAACATATAGTGCCTCTCCAAAATTCTCCTTTAAGAGATGTCTTAAAGATTTTTGAATGGTACATATTTGGGCAATAATAGGGTATTTCATGATTTTCCTCTTGGCATTATGTTTTTAGAGGAAGATGGTTGGGGGTTGAAATCATTATATTGCCATAGTTATACTATAACAAGTTGAATAAGAGAATCTCGTTTTAAACTAAAATGACTAATTATAATAAGAAAGCTGTTTTTTAAAACACTTCTGTTGAAAGAACACCTCTTTATATAAAACACCTCTCTAAATGGAACAGTCTTCGAAGGAGCAACTCGATGAACACTATCTGTGAGAAACACATGTCTGCAGGATTCAAATATAGAGCTGATTTCATGTATACAGGCTTTACGACTTCTCAAATACAGTAAAAGCTGTCAAGGTGCAACACCTTTGGTACCTGTAAAAAAGTGTTCCAGTTCGGAGGCGTTCCACTTATAAAGGGTCATTTAACATTAAGTCAGTAAACTATTTGACCAACTACATGTAGTTTTTGCGTCTATTTATCTTGGCGTCTATTTATTTGGCATTATTGGGAACTTAAGGGTCATTTAACATTAAGTCAGTTGGTCTTGGGACTCTGAAAAGTATTCCAATAACAGAGATGTTACACTTATAGAGGTGTTCCACTTTACAGGATTCAATGTAAACATTATTGACTGTGTTTCAAGGCTATGGTTCCGACTGAGAGGCAGATTAGACCCACCTGGGCCAGACCAAATAGCCCATGTTAACCTGGTTCCAGAAAAACAACAACATCTCATAAGTCAGGACCTGCCACTGAAAGAATGTTACGAGTCTTTCCACCAAGTGTTAAGGCGCTTTAATGAGAAGCAGAAAATCAGCCCAATAGGTAAAGTTCAACAACCAATAACACTTTACTATAATAAGTCGTAAACTCCTCTATAAACACATTATGATAAGAATTTATTGAGCCTGGGGTCCATTTTTGGTACAATTATAACTTACAACTCTCAGAAAACAATTGTATACTGTAAGAGAAACATGATTTGCGACAAAATTGTAGATTACAATTGTTCCAAAATGAATGTGTGCTGTAGGCAGTATGGATACTATCACTGATTGAACGTGTCGTTTGACATCTAGAAGATCCTGGTCGATGAAACTGACTCAGTTCACTGCACATTATTGAGTTAAGTTGTTCCCTAGCCATTACTTTGCTCATTCTTGTGAAAAATCACGAACTCCTGATTTAGTGGCATATTTATGCAATCTGAAGTGCTAGAGCTCTGATATAAGAACCATCCTATTAATAATAAACCCCCATAGGATATAATCTCTGCCAAATATATTAGTATCCTGGCCTATTGAGGCAGTTTACACCTAGGATATCATTCATCATGATAAACATTTCATCATTCATGTACTCTACCCGGAAAGGCACCCAGATGTGATCATAAATTTTGGTATTTCCTCAAATTCAAGATGCTAGTTGTAGCCCTTAAATCTGACATCTAAGATATCTGGATAAAACTATACTGTCAATGGCAGCGTATTAACATGCAAAATGTCACCATGCTGAATGGTAAACATCAACTGCCGATTGCAAAACACAATTCACAAAATAGTTGAAGACTATAACACTATATCAAGTGTCTATTTAACATTCAGATAAATTCTATACTTCTTACAAGTTCCAAATGATAAAGTGGTTTCCATATGTCCCCCCCCCCCCCCACCTGTCTACTTCTCTTATGGGCATGTTTGAGAGGATGCCTTAAATGCCTTTGAAAGAGAGAGAGCAAATGTTTTACTGTTTTCGCGATGCCTCACAATACAAATCTATACAGCAGAATCTTTCTAACCATTATTCAACAAAAAATTGGAAAAATTGGAATTCTTACTGAAGGCATATATCTCAATTTCTGATTTGGTGTTATTGTATAGAACTGTAAATTGAGAGATTTTGAAGTATAGCGAAGAACTATTATTTAATTTAGACTTGAAAAGAATACTGCAGTCATGGCAACCTGGGTAACCGTAGAATATAATACACATTAATACACAGGGGTGGATCTGGGAAGCAACCATTCTGATACTCATAGCATCTCTCTCTCTGTTGCATCCAGAAGGATAGAGATGGAGAGGGCGTGGCTTACCAAGATGGGAATCAACATGGGGGGCCAAATTACAGGTCTGGGAAAAAAATATTGGGCCCCTAAAACCAAAAAGTGGGCCCAAATTTTGAAAATTTGAGGTTCATTTTCTTCAAAATTTGGCCTAAAATTAAAAAATAAGGCCTTAAAAGACCCAGTAATGACCAAAAAGGCCCACCTTTTGAGCCTTTAGGCCTTTTTTGGTCCCTGCCCCCCCCCCCAGATCCGCCAGTGATACACAGGGAATCTGTCGTTGCTATAGCCAATACAATTTATCACAAAGAGAAAATAATAGGATAAAGCAAGCAAGCATACCTAAGACAGAAAGGAGGAATTGGCCTTAAAGAAATCAGACACTCAAGCGAAATTGCAAATGAGACATCACGAAAGACAAACTCCCTAGTGACATTTCAATGACGGATAATAACGAAGATTTGTGACTTTGTGAATCGGAAATTTATACTAGCTAAGCTGACACGGCTAATTAATCTCAATATCTTTCCAGTACCATTTTCTTATGTAAATACAGAGGTTTAATACTTCAGCGAGGATTCTCAATCGTTTCTGTTGAAAATCACTAGCTGGTATCGAAATATTTGTCCGCTGTGACGGAGCATGCTATTTTTCGTAAAAACACTAAGAATACTTCACGATTTATTTTTTAACTCATATGTTTCGTTATACCATACAAAATTACTTACTCCATGCAATGGATATATCATTTGCGGGTAACTTTCACTTCTGTTTGAAGTCCAATTACGCTGGGAAGAAAAGCTATTGAAAATGGCGCCGGAGTATCATACTTCAAAATGTACCATTTCTTGTTTAACTTTCTAATGGCACGATATAGTGACACGATAATATTTACACATGGTTTCAGCATAACTATGAATGTATAAATGAGATTTTGATGTATTTGGTCTTTTTAATTCTTTTATAAAAAATAATGTTTAATTCTTTTGTCCGCTGTGACGAAGCAGTTGCAAATGTGAACTGTGAAAATGCTCCGTCACAGCGGACAAAAAATATTAATATTATTTTTTATTAAAAAAATTAAAAAGACCCAATGCATTAATATCTCATTAATACATTCAGAGTTATGCTTAAAACATATGTTAATATTATCGTGTCACTATATCATGCCATTAAAAAGTTAAAAAAGAAATGGTACATTTTAGAGTTTGATACTCTGGCGCCGTTTTCAATAGATTTTACTCCTTGCGTTATTGGACTTCAAACAGAAGTGAAGGTTACACGCAAATGATATATCCATTGCATAGAGTAAGTAATTATCTTTGATATAACGAAACATATGAGTTAAAAAATAAATCGTGAAGCATTCTTAGTGTTTTTATGAAAAATAGCATGCTCCGTCACAGCGGACAAATCTTTCGATACCAGCCTGTGAAAATAAACATGAAGAAAATGATTTTCTTGTACTCCATGTACTAGTGTTATTAAAGTTTGAATTTGAGTTTCATCTACTTAACTAGCCTCTATATAATCTCAGGGTCTATTAGCTCTTAAAAAATTCCAGAATGGCGAGAATGTTTCTATTTTCACCATTCAAAACTTAATGAACTTGGAAAAACTAGCTGCCTATAAGACAATAGTGTGGATGCTACTATGATCTCTTCTGGCAGTCAAGTTTTCAACCTATGTCACAAACTCGGCCTGATTACAATGTATTGCAATTAATTTGGTTCTGAAATGCAAGAGAACTGATTAGGGAAGAGCGAGATCGTAATACCACATACAGATAATGTTCAAACATTTTAATATGACATAGAATATTGATAAATTGAGTAAACACAGAAAAATCTATTCTTTCAGATTTGAATAGAAAATCCAGTCGAGTGTAACCAAATCAGTTCCGTTTAACTAAATACGATGCAAATGAAAATCACTGTTCAGTTCTATTCTGACACTCATCACATCTTTCCATTCTCAAACAAGCAGTATATGCCTTTTAAAAAGAAACTGAGGGAGGATGGTATTATACAGGATATCAGTTGACTGTACAAAAAACCAAGTTTGTAGACATAAAATCAGACAAAATTTGACCTCTAAATACATCAGAAAACTGACAGGAAATTGACAATGGGGGAGGGGCATTTTTGAGATTCCATGGGGGATGCTTCTGTCTCATCCAATGTCAGCAAGTCTAAGTTTAGGGTCTGCAAAATATAAGAATCCTGGAACCTCCAAAAGAAATCCTAAGGAACAAATACTGAACTCTCTGTAACATTCCACGGAGAGTAGTTTATTGGAAAAAGAAGTATCAAGCAAGAAGGATAAATCAGTGAAAAGTGCATTAGTATTGTGTTGGTGAAGTAGATAAGGGCAGTCTTGAGGCAAGACCATACTATTGGCTGCATGGGATAAAATCAGCACTCGGGATTCATGGAGATTTGAGTTTTAAGATCTTTGTGCTACTTAGGGAGCATTCAAGGAATTTCAATCTCACTTTCAACTCATCAATTTGCTCAAGTGATTTGCGATTTTTCAAAGGAGTAAAATACGTCATGGAGTTCAGTGGTTTGATTTAGGTATAATTATCTCATTTGAGAACAAATGTTAGCTCTGAAGCACTCCAGTTGAAGCATTCACTCATCCTCCTTCCTATGCTTTCAAATTGTTCCTGGCCTCTCAGCCAATAGCCAATCACAGGATGGCATTTACAACAAATTGTGCATATATTTCAAGAGCATGCGGACTGTAAATACCCAGAGCACATTTTTTATTAAGATCATGTCCGTAAAATCACATAAAATGACCCAAGGTTCAGTCTTCTAATGCCTGTTAATCAAGATTTCTCATCCATTGATTGCAACTTTATATTTTTCAGGCAAAATCATCAATATTCAATCTTTGCCAGTCAAATATTCCAACTCTAAAATGAACCCTGTTGATCCTGATAAGTCAACATGGACGAGGGTTGCAGACAGATCTCTCTATTTCATGACAGTACAAAGAGTTTACTATCTCGTCAACAAACCATGTGATCGCTTGATAGGTAAGGAGAAACGAGGTGGCTGAGGTAAATTTTTCAGATTTTTAAAAAAGATTTTTATTATTTTTACAAAAGTTTTTGATTTATTGATTCAGCTTATTACTTTAAGGTAGAAGTTGACTGTTCATTGCGCAGCCAGTTCGTGCATCTTTAATGCCAAAAACGATAACTTTTTCCTTTGTATTTTCCCAAATGTTGCCTCTTGCCATTGCTGTTGCTGGTCTGATATAATAAAGATATCATATGCCATTTTAAGTAAAATTATTTATGCACATGTACCTCAAAACGAAGCAAATTTCATTTTGTTTTGCCCGCCCCTTCTCCATATCTAAAGAATAGCTAATGATGTTGATTTGTCTTTGAGTTGAATGTTAAAAAATCAACACTCTTGGATAATGAAACCATCATTCCTACCCAAGGACATTAACTCCAACTCCCCCAAGGAAATTAACTCCCCCAAGGAAATTAACTCCCCCAAGGAAATTAACTCCCCTAAGGAAATTAACTCCCCCAAGGAAACTAACTCCCCCAAGGAAATTAACTCCCCCAAGGAAATTAACTTTGTTATTTAACAACTGTTGATAATCAGACACCATCCCTAAGCAGATAGATATTTAGTGATAAAGTTGACATTTATCATCTCACCATATGCAAAAACAATTCATAATCCACATCAGAGTTAAAAGTGTTGTTACTTCAATATCAATTTACTAATGATCTATAAAATGCATCTGATTAATTTGAAAAATTTGATGCTCCCTAGCCCATTGAAAAGAAAAATGAAAGGAACACTGGCTGTACTTGTAGCATTTCTCTGTCTCTCTCTCATGCATCACAGAAACACAGAGTTGAAGAAGACTTGGCTTGCCCTAATGGGCTTTACAAATGAACCAAGGACAAATTGTTTTTGGACAAATATTCCTATAAATGTGATTTCAGGTTGTAAAGATTTCACACCTGGCCCAGATGGGAACCGAAACGCATATGGAGAGACATACGAACCATTTAACACTCTGGTGACAAGGGCCAGGGATTGGCTCATGGGACAGAGTGAATTTGCTCTTAGTTTGATCAACCTACAGGCTGTCAACTGTAAACTAAAGGTCTACCCAGATGGTCAGTCCCGAGAAGAGTTTCACATTTTCACATCTGTTAACGAGTCTAAAGCCCCAGTCATATATGCTCTAAGGCAGCCATACAGCAGCTCTAGCTTCAGATAATCGATATAGATGATCTATATCGTACTGCTTATCCCTATATCTTATGCTGCCTATTTCTCTCGATTTTGGGAAGCTCGGCCACCATAGGGTTGCTGTAGATCAAATGTGACTGAGGCATTAGTCTGATTTCATCTTGAAAGAATTTCTGAGGAATTCACAAGGTCAAATAGTATTTTTCATATTTCTATATGCTTTACAATTTTAGTTTATCACATAATGAAACATACTCATCAGGCCCATAGCCAGAATTTGCCAAGGAAGGGTTCACTTTTTAAAAACTTCTAAGGGAGTTCACTTTTGACAACTTTGGCCTAAAAATGGCCAAAATCACATAAAAGGTGCTCAGATTGGTGATAAACTGCATGATTTTGAAAGATTTTTTGACCAAGGGGGTTTCGCTTGAACCCCCCCCCCTCCCTGGCAACGGGCCTGCTCACTAAGGGAGAATGCAATTTGAGACTACTGTGAATGTGAATCCTGCAAAACAGTCCTCAATGTCAACTTGTTTCATTGCTTTGTTTTAATAGTTGTATGATTTAGATTTATTTGACATAGATTTATTTCATTTGAATTATCTTTAGTGCAAGACAAATACAAATCTGAGCTTGATAAATGATACATGAACTACTGCAAGAGAATTTCCATAATATTTTCTGAAAATCTATCTTTATTTGTTTTAATGACAGCTAATATTTTTTCAGGTTATTATGTTTGCTCAAATACATCCATTAATAAAGAACACTCCAACCGTTCAACAGAATACATTCGAATTTTACGACTTTTCTTCACGGTGCCGCATCCGAATGGCATCCAAAATTCTAATTGTACACCATCCCCCAATCTTGGTGCAATCAACAATCATGGTCAAACCCCTGGGGTTCTCATTTCTCCTGTCTTACCCCCAGGAGATTCAAACTCTGAAGTGGCGGGACAACATCCTCTAAGCACAACAATAGCAGGTCCCGCAGAAAGTGAACAGGATATATCACTTGAACTGCACCAGTTTCTCAATAGTGCCTCACAGAGCAATGCAAGACGGGAAGTACTACATTATAAGACATTCTATCCTGTGGTTGACCCCCTCCTTGGCTGTATGGAGTCACAATCTGATTGCATGGCAAAGATTACACGTTGGCTAAACTTTACCAGTAAGTATGGCAATGGCTTAAAAGCTTAAGTCATAAAGTATCTTTATCTCAAGTGTTTAAAGGCATTTTCAAATCAACAAGATGGTTATAAATATGTATAAAGTATAAGAGTGCTTAATGCTAGAGAGGCAACACTGAGAAAAATCCTAAAAACAGTATGAGCCAATATCATAAAATCAATTTGCAAAAGTCAGAAAATCCATCAATTGACATGTATATCCATATACAAAAAGGTATAATTAGTTCAAATGCCCATCAATTCCTACATTAAATTAATAAATCCAAAAAGCCTCATAAATTGAGACTTCAAACTAATTCAATGACTATCTAGTCTATCTTTAATCAAGTATTCTACTCAATAACTAATTGGTTAAGACAATGTGGCCCTAAATTGACCCATATAGCACTTAACGCCATATCTCCCTGATTGACGTAACAGAATGAAAATAACAGTAGAATAGGTTCTAATATACAAGACATCACCTGGGTATTTGAGATTACAAGTTGCATGTTAATTCCATCACCGCTTTCTACTTGGTCTAGGAAGGAAAAACAGAAACCATGTTAATTCACCCATGCCCGTATCCAGGATTTGCCAAGGGGGGGTTCAGTTTTCAAAAAGTTCCAGGGGGATTCACATTTGACAATTTTGGCCCAAATAAGGCTAAAATCACTTGAGAAGTGCTCAAAATGTTGAAAAACTGCATGATTTTGAAAAAAAATTTGGCCAGGGGGGGCCCGAACCCTGCGAACCCCTGTTCTGTCTATCAATTCATTCACAGGGATCTTTGCCTCAATCCTTGTGAATCCATGTGAGTAGCATTCGTGTGGATTTACATGGTTCCCAAATGGATCTGTTTGGGGTGTACCAAATATGTAACAAATATGTTCGAGTTTGGGAATATCACCCACCAAAACATGATAAAAATATCCTCCCCTTGAATTGAATTGAACTGAAAACTATAACTATATCTGGAGATCATATTGGCATTAGACAGAACGAGAAAAATTAATAAAAAGCTCTCAGTAGGCTTTCAGATAAGTACATGTATTTTACACCTACTGAGGTTCCAGGTACATAATGAGCGGGAATATATAGTTATATAGCTGATGCACCATGCATTATTTGAGCAAATAGTGTATCATAAGGCCATTCACAGTTGTCCAATCAATCAATGACTTTCAGCATATATTGTGATGCATTGAAGCACTGACAGAAAATGTGAACCTCTACTAGACTGTTATAAATATGTCTAAAAGTACAGCAATTAATTACATCCATGTCATTGGTAGGGTGTTCTAAGAAATTACTGATCAATAAATCCGTTCAAGTTACAAGGACTGACAGGCTACAATCTACAACTAATATACAGTAGAACCTGTACGATCAAGTTGGCTAAAAGTGTTCAAATAGGTCACGTGCTCACATTTGAGGATTTGTAGTCATAGGATTCAGGATATTGAACACATATTGAATTTAAATAGGTTAATTGACCACAAAACTGGCATAACTGAGAGTAATGTATTAATATAATTCTAATGAGTTCACTTGTCATATTAGAAAAAGATTAAATGTGATTATTTATTAGTGAATATATCTAGAAAACACTACATTTTATAAACATATATTTTATTCACACTTTGGGTTTTTTTAAGATGGGAATCCAATAAAATGTTCACATTAAGATGTACTATGACTGACCACTGTTCAAATTGGGAAGTGTTCACATAATATGAAGTTTTTGTTAACTTGGGAGTCAATGTAATGAAATAAGACCTTGTGTGTTTGCATTGGGAAATGTTTAGATATGAGAGGTGTTTGAAAATACAGGTTTTACTGTGCATGCCGGAAATAATTTGAGAAAGTCACTCAATTTTACATATGTGATTAAGCAAGCATTTCATTTGTATGCTAGATTCTTTCTTCAATAGAGATTTACAGATTACACAAATGAAAGGAAAAACTGGTAATTGTCTATCGTGATTATCTTCCGATTCTAAATTGAACGAATTCAGATAAATCTATTCCATCAGTAAGATCCTCGCAAAGCATTACTCCATCTATATATAATAAATTGATCTTCTTTGACAGTTCACAAATCAAATTATGGTATATACAGGGTGGGCCAAAAAATGCCACTTTTTTTTCAAGACACTACAACTTTTTTATTTTCCAACCTACATACCCCAAATTTTGCAGTTATATAGTGCCAGGGGTTTTAAGTAATAATATTATGTAACAAGTCCTTCAACTTGGATTATATTTGATTTAAAAGAGGAGTTCAATTGGTCTGCCACCCTATTCGATGATATATTTTAGTTTTAGTTGCCTTGCTGATAAAGCAGTATCAATGAAATGAAAGATAAGTTTTTTTCAACCTGTCTTTATTGCCAGCTTTAGTTGAGTAATTTTCTAGATTGGTTGCCTTCATACAATCTCCTGGATACCTCCCCATACCCTATACTCACTGGGGTTTGCATCAGGGCTATAAGCTTGGCGATCATCAGGCCGTATCAGTTCAGGAACATTTTGCAAATTATGCCTATTTCTCATGGCACACCACATGTTTAAGCGAGACGCTGGTGACATATTTTATTCAAGTAAAAGTTTTCAATTCATGATCCATGGCTAGATAACAACCTCAAGTTTCATTAAGTATGCTTATTATGATTTTGTTTGAAAAATTAAAAAAGTTATAGCAGTTTGAAAAAAAAGTGGCATTTTTTGGCCCACCCTGTATATATTGTCACCAGTGCATCCAGAGTTTTAAGTAGCAAAATTCTTCATTCAGAGTCATATATTACAATATTTATATCTATTTACCATGATTAATTATGAGATGTCATGTATCAGAATGATTTATTTTATTTATTTATTGCCTTACTGCAAATTCAATGTACATGGATAGAATCATTATGTAAAGATAAGGTCATTTATGAATAAGGATGCATTGAAATTTTTTTAGACAGGAAAGTGAGATCTAACGAATCATTAATGGTGAATATCTAATAAGCTTTAATAAACAAGAAGATTTAAGATCTGGTTGATTTTTTTATAAAAGAATTGAACTAATTATAGCGATTGAGTTTAAAAAAAGTTGTCGAACAATCAAAATCTTTAAAAATCTTATAAATCCAAGTTCAATGTCAACAATCTTCATTTTCCTATTATATTCTTGATCAGACAGAGTTTCAAGCGCTCTGATTGGCCAATAATAGCTTATAATCTACCTTGGCCTTGAATAAATAGTCATTTGTGCATCCTCCGATCACAGTGCTTCAAAATTCAGATTAAATTCTTTCTTTTTACCCCCTGCGATAAGCAGTTAGCATTTCCCCGATTAAGAAGTCGCAATCTGATTGGCTGTCGCAACACGCAATACAGAAATCATGTATAAGTCATTGCACATAATTAGATCACATGATTCAGTTTAATCGTGCACTTCCAAATTGTTTATAGCAGGGGGAAGAAGGAGGTACGGATTCTGGACACCTGTTTAGGAGGATGTCATTTGTGATATTTACATATTTCCCTCAGAATAAACCCTATATCTAAAACCCCAAAGTATATAACCCTTATATGTTACATATTTTCCAGGTGCAAAGCCACTATCTGTTGAGACCATTAATATACGACGCTTCAAAGGTGCAGAACGCGGCAACTCTGAGGTGACCTACACATACACGAACCCTAGCAAGAGTTATGAGTGGATAACAATATTCCGGGTCTACCTAGATTCAGCCTATGAGGAGCCTCCCCCACATTTACTCCAGCGAATCAGGTCACGATCGCGTATTCAGCGACAACAACGTGTCCAGTCTGAGAGTGTCAGTGAAGGGGAGGACGAGGAATGGAATAACGACCCTGTAGGATGTAACATATCATAGGCAATTATAAACAAATTGAATTTACATGTACAGCTTCACAGGCGTGGTCTTCATTGCATTCAGATTGACAGGAGTCATTGAATGAAGATGGAATATACATTGGGTGATTCAAAAGTAACGTGACACCAACTGGTTATTCAACATTTCTGAACTTTTTTAATGAAATCATCAGAGAACAGAGATATTGCAGTGGAACGCAATTCTCACAGTTAATATGGCATTGCAAGGAATCGACCTATAGGACACCAAATATTGTCTGTATAAAAAGGTTCGAATTAGCGGAATGAATAAAATATACATTTACTCCAGCGAATCGGGTTAGGCTAAGACAGCTGGAATCAAGACCACCATTAATAATGTTATATCTGACTTTTATGAAATGTCATATTTGATTATCATACAAGTTGCGGAGCAATATCATATTTGATTACCATAGGAGTTGCTGAGCGATATCATATCAGATTATCATATGAGTTGCTGAGCAATATCATATTTGATTATCATACAAGTTGCTCGGCAAAATTATATTTCATTATCAAACCACTTGCTCAGCAATATCGTATTTGATTATCATATGAAATGTTGAGCAATATCTTATTTGATTATCATACAAATTGCTGAGCAATGTCATATTTGATTATCATACGAGTGGCTGAGCAATATCATATTTGATTTCATACAAGTTGCTGCACAATATCATATTTGATTATCAAACCAGTTGCTGAGCAATATCATATTTGATCATCATGCGAGAATCTGTAAAATGTCATATTTGATTATCATAGGAGTTACTGAGCAATATCATATTTGATTATCATACAAGTTGCTGTGCAATATCATATTTGATTATCATACAAGTTGCTGCAGAATATCATATTTGATTATCAAACCAGTTGCTGAGCAATATCATATTTGATTATCATACAAAGTGCTGAGCAATGTCATATTTGATTATCATACAAGTTGCTGCACAATATCATATTTGATTATCAAACCAGTTGCTGAGCAATATCATATTTGATCATCATGCGAAAATCTCTCCAATATCATATTTGATTATCATACGAGTTACTGAGCAATATCATATTTGATTATCATACAAGTTGCTGTGCAATATCATATTTGATTATCATACAAGTTGCTGAGCAATATCATATTTGATTATCATGCGAGAATCTGTGCAATATCATATTTGATTATCATACAAGTTGCTGTGCAATATCATATTTGATTATCATACAAGTTACTGAACAATATCATAATTGATTATCATGTGAGAATTTGTACAATATCATATTTGATTATCATACGAGTTACTCAGCAATATCATATTTGATTATCATACAAGTTGCTGTGCAATATCATATTTGATTATTATACAAGTTGCTGTGCAATATCATATTTGATTATCATACAAGTTGCTGAGCAATATCATATTTGGCTGACTATCATTAAAGTGACATCGCAATATCATTTCTGACTATACACAAATAAAATAAAATTTAAGTTATTCCTTGGTCACATTTTCTCCGATCCATCGGCCGGCGCCTGGCTATTGAGTGTTCTGTTCAATATCGTATTCGATTTTGAACAAAATACTCAATCGCCCAGGCCCTGTAGTGAAAAACGGACGGATTTGACCAAGGTATTAGTAGATGAATATGTGCTTTTAAAATATTTATACATTTGCTTGATAAGACAATGTTCATTGTTGTACATTATATTGACATTGAAGTGAACAGACTATATAATTGGCATTGAAGTGAACAGACTATATAATTGGCATTGAAGTGAACAGACTATATAAACACTGCAGAGTATATCATGCGGAATGGTGTGAATTACAGAATGGACTTATTACAAATTCAATGATCTATGTTTGTGCCTCATACCACATCATCTGGTGACACTTTAATAAATCAAATAAAAACCAATCCTTATAGTTGATTTATATATATACATTGAACTGAAAATCAATTGATAAACCAATCATTTCAATAAACCTATTTATAAAGTATTAATACAGTATTACTGTGATGGGTGAAATATGTTACGTCACTTTTATTTTGTCATAAGATAATCAAATTAATAAATTTCCCAATAACTGAATGAGGAGGGTCTAGCCATCCTTCTTCAAAGGACTTCATTTATGCCAAATGAAAAGAAGTGAAATACCCTTAGACCAAGGGTGGGTCTAGTTCAAGGACCTAAATGTGCCCGTAATAACCTTTTACATGTAAATGTCTAGAGTAGAAATTAGTTATTTCATTCTTCTCCACCCACCTAAACAACGAGTGCTGAATAAATACAATAATCTTTTTTTCTTGGAAATGGCCATAAATAATGCATTGTGCTAATAGCAGGTTAGGTTCAATGCCCGCAAGTGCAATGTACAGAAAGACCTGTATACCCTAACAACTATCTTAGCTTATATGAATACTTCTCAATGTAAACACTTTTTCCGTCCATTTTTTAATCTACCATGACATTGTTCATAAACCTTGAAATGCGCACACCTGCCACTTTGAACACTATTGATTGGTCTCCGTGCTATTTAGATTAGACAGGTTTTATTTGATACATAGTGATAGCCTCCTGTAATACCATATTAATCATCTAAAATGTGAGAATGATTTAGGTCTAACAGTGCCATCTAACTGTAAGCTGGCAAACTATATGTGAGTTTGGTCATGACAAGAGACATCTCTGGCCTCAGCACATTAGTTTTCATTTTTTAGAGTTGTATTCATTTTAAAAACATTTTTTTAAAGCTCTGAAATGTAATATACCACACTGCTTAACTCAAAAAAATGCATTTACATAACTTTCCCAATTGATCTAAAGTGTAATTCAATGTCTCTTCCGCAAGATATAGTTGAGCTAATAAAATAAAAAGACCAGTCTCTGTTTGGAGAACAAAGTTCATCACTCTAATGCACATTAGGCCTGCTTTGGACAATTTTGATATATTTAAATGTCCTCTTTTGAATGTTCATAATTTAATTTGGGTGATATTTCTATGTTTTCAAAAAGAAATTATTAGCGTAGTACACTGATGAACTTCTTTCACCAAATCGAGACTTGTCTTTTATTGAATCGGTCTACTGCACATTACGCCTGCTTCAGACAATTTTGATATTTTTACATCTTGTAGATTTAAAGGTCCTCTTTTGGATATTCACAATTTAATTTGGGTGATATTTCTATAATTTTCATTAAAAAAATTATTAGCCCAGGAGACTGTTCTCCAAACAGAGACTTGTCCTTTGATGTTAACATTATGCTACACAAACAAGGTATACCTAGAATTATTGATAAACAGATATTAGCAGATAATATTGTGAATAGCGATAATAAAACTAACGCTAATTGCAATATTATCGCCATTATCAAAACAAGACAGTGTCGCGTGAATAATGCTTTTCAATTACATTAGACAAGAAATAATATTGCTTATGACTATTGCCTTCCATGCATTGTGGATCAAATAAACCTGTCTTATTATGACAATTTTAAATTTGCATAGAAACATTCATGATGTTAAAAATCGTTCTTGCACTAAGGCCAGAGAATTGTTCCCAATGGTTATTTGATCTACATGTATTTTCTCTTGAGTTAAGATAAACACTTCTTCAGTTCTCGATGACTGGATATCTTGATTTATCCTATGCCAAGTAGAGTTTTAGGGAGATAAGTTGGTAAGATATATCCCGTATCCGGATTTTGAGGTTTCCATATCCAGAACCTCCATATCTCCCGCCATATCTCCCACTTCGGTGCATATCTTCCCGCTTCGGTGCATATCTTCCTGCTTCCCAATAAAAGTGGAAATGCAATAAAATGACTTTGCATATGAATGATTTGTTTATTTTTACACCTTGTACTATTGAAATGGCCATATTCCCCTGAAAACTCTACTTGGTATAGGATAAAGCAGTTATGTACGGTCGGTTTGGATATAGGGTTCATCCCTCGCGAGATATGCAGATCTACCTTCGGTCCCTACGGTCCCTCAATAGATATGCATATCTCCCTCTGGATAAACCCCATATCCAAAACCTCCCAGTACATAACCCTTATTTATGAGGGACAAGCAGGTTAAAGTGGCTCTAATATCCACAATTTATCCGTGAGACTATTCACTAAAGATAACCTTCACAACATAAAAAGAGAGAGGGGACTAGTGATGGCCCTTGTGTTATACACCTTATCTTAAGACCTTTGTCTGGTTTTCAACATTATCTCAATATGCCTATTAAGAGTCCTGTAAAGCAAGTGTCATAAATTATATTATGGGCATCGGAGGGGGGGGGGCATGCAGAAACTGTCCTGAAATCTTTTGATGAAATTCCTGTGAAACTACAAAAATACTGTTTCTTATAAGAAAAGAACTATTTATAATCCTTAAAAAGACTCAGATTGCCTCCGAATAATGATTTCCAAACTTTTTTCCTAGAGCTGCTTGCCCCACACCCTCCAGATGTGTGGCCGATCAGTTACCCTGCCACCTACATTTTCTAGAAAAAATGCAACCCCTTCTTCAAATCTGGTCTAACAACCCCCCCCCCCCCCATCCCATATACCTCATGTCTTGAAGGGTTTTATTCTTTAATTCAAAAGATCATTCATCATAATAAAATAGCTAGGCTTGTAGTAAAGCAAAGCATGATGCCTGAGCTTATATGTAAGCAAACAGCACTAAGAATAATAATTAACAGATATGCTGAATGATTCTAATCAACACCTGAAATTACAGAAATGCTATCTATGCATTCAATCCACTTCTAGAATGGCAAAAATGTAAACCAAATATAAACCAAAATAACCCAATAAGGTGTGTATAAATGATTAACTTTCCTGTTATCCCAAAACTCTGATACAACACAAGTAACATAAGCTCTTTTATCATCACAAAACTTTAGGGTTTATTCCTTCAACTTTCAAGCAGGGGTTCTTGTTTTCCACTTATAAAAATATGCGGCTTTAATTGCTGAGAAGAAAATCTATCACAGTACAACTATACAGACGCCATCTTTATAATGAATAAATTGCTTTAACAGTGAATTCGCAACTCTTAGAGTGCTTACTGAACGAAACAGACCAGAGTCACAAACAAGGTCTTGTCTGAACTGATTCTGAACTACTCATGGTTCTAAACTGGATAAGACTTGAACTGACCTTTTCACTTATGAAGTAAAAGAGTCTTACCTCATCCTTGGCAGAGGAACTTTTTGTGGCTCATTTTTGGATTTACTGGCGACCTCTGGTTGGTCTGACATTATCACCTCAGGGGTGCCCCTTCCCTCTAACATCTGGCCCCGCTCTTCACTTGTTTGTACTTCAGGTTCCTCCAATACAGGCTGATCTTGAAGAGGCGTTTCGCCTAACGATGCTTGTCTGAAAGAAGTCAATCAATCAAATAGGAGAGAGATTCTCGGTATATCAAAGTACATGTATGAGAGAAAATGTAAACCAAAAGGGATATTTTTTAATAAAATTATTTTCTACAATTAAAATCTGTTAAGGTCACAAAATTATATCAAAGTAAAAATGACACAATTAAATTACAAACAAACTCTTACATGAAACTCTATGGCTTTAAAATAAAGTGAATGCAAGTGCCTTATACCTCTTTGATGATCTGCGCTTTGTGTGAGGGCTTTGGCTCGGGGGTGTCACAGTGCCATATGGAGATCGCAATGGAGGTCCACTGTGAAGTCCAGGCAAACCTAAAGAAATGTTAAGTTCAAATGACTGCTACAAATATTCAATGGATAAAAGTTATGTAGTAACAGTCTTTCATATGAGTTGCATCATCCATTTCTACTTCATTTCACTCTAATCTTTTCAACATTCTGAAAATCATTTTTTACATTATGTAAGGATGGTAACTTGAACCAGAGCTTTATATATGAAAGATTACTTAAAATGAATTCAAAATGATTGTATATGTAAACTGTACCATTAGCAATCTGCTGTTGGGGAGTTGGAGCTGTGTTGGATGTTGGGGTTGATGTGGCCATAGGTCCATTGAGGGCTTCTATTAGACTGATTGCCTCAAACCCTGTAGGAACACCCTCTTGACTGATTGGATTCTCTTCCCCTGTCACTGCCTGCAGAAAACAGTGGATTGAGTTTGAACAATTTTGAGACTAAAACATAATTGCAATAAGATTTTTTGTGGCACCTGACCACCTGCTTACACACTTTGAAAAACGTGATACAAACCAAACATTTAATGACAAAATGTTACAACCTGGCTGCAATTTACAAAAGGGTAACCATTTCTTACAGATTACAAATGGCAGTCTGAAAAATGGTAGATAGTATAAAATAAAACCTCATCTGCCGATGGCTATCACAGTCTATGTCTATGTCAATAATCTGCAAAAGGCTTATAAGCCCATATAAAGCAGATATATAATTTAACAGTGATACAATTTGAATAGAATATAATTTAAAACCTTAACATTTAAAAATAGATCTATGGTTTACAACTCGTTTTAAAATTGAAAGGAACCTTCCTGGTTGGCTAAAGTCCACATTATAAATAAATTCAAATCAACCACACTGACGTTTTTTCAATCAATCAGCGAGCAGAAAGAAACAATTCTGGGTCAACAATGATGTCAGAGGAAATGACCATATATAGTCATTCTTCTTAAGACAACAAGCCCCGATCGGTGAGTTCAAAAGTTTTCTCATAAAGTGAAAAGAGTGCAGTGTTCTGTAAAAGAATCTTTCTTTTAAGTTAATTTGAAACAAAGGATCAAATCCTTTAGGGATATATATTTTTCATTATATTCCTGAGCATGGTTTAGCAATATCAAAATTTTCTTTGCAATGATATACCATTTCAACATAAACTGACCTCTTTTTTCATAGAAGTTTTGCGACACCAATCCACTGTAAATGTGAATTTTTTTCCTGATCTTGGACAAAAGATATTTCACTGAATCTCCAGGAAATCAAGAGTTCAATCAATTTTTGTTGAGTATGAGATGTAATTTCACAAAGAGCAAGAGAATCCAAGCACTTACCACTTCTGGATTCCTTGTGATTTTTTTCTTCATTGCTCTAATTTGTAACAGGGCCCTAAATGGTGAACGGCATATAGGGCAATTGTTGGACTGGTATCGAAGGTTATCGGCACAGTTGTTACACAGACATAGATGGCGACAGGGTAATATAAGTGTATCTCTGATGTCACACATACATATAACACACTCTGCGCCTGTATCATCAACTTCTTCATCTTGCAGCTGAAATGAAAAGATATGCAGTCTTTGAGCACAAGAGGTTATTACCCAGAAGGCTGCACAAGTACTGGTACATGAAATACTGATTGATATATGAAGATCAAAACCATTTAGTCTCGCTAGAGTCCTAGTGACCTTCCCCCACACACACTTCACCTAAAGTAGATGGAGGAGAGGGTTTGGAGACTTAATGCAAGACTCAGACAACCATCATAGAATATAACAAGACACACAGTGATAAATATCGCACTTTAAAGAGCAAACTGGCCACCATGCAATTTACCAAGCATGGCCAAAACCTAATCAGACCTTGGCACTAGTCTGCTCTTGCATCTGTAAACATTTCAAGTTGACAAGGTTAGCGGTTTTCCTGCAATTTTGATGACAAGAATTTATTTGTAGTCTTGAACTTTGGGAAAATTTAGATAACATTGTTTGTGACCTAATTTGATGACCTTCGATCTTGAAAATTTCACTTTTTCAGACCTCAGTAGGTCTTTTGTAATTAGCTGACCTAAATTTAAATCCAAAATATCAATTTAGAAAATCAAATTTTTGACCTTTTCAAGGCCACTGAAGGTGAATGAAAGGTCAAATCTGAAATCTAAGGTCAGATTTGAACTTCTGAGAACTTGTAGATGTTTTTAAAAAAAAAATTTGGTCAATTTGGAGCAAGTTGAAAAATTCAAAATGGCCGCCAAATTGAAAAATTCAAAATGGCCACCATGTAATTCAGCCAGCATACCCAAAACCTAATCAGATCTTGGCAATAGTCTGCTCTTGCATCTGTAAAAATTTCAAGTTGAACGGATAAGTGGTTTTCCTGGAATTTTGATGACAAGATTTGTTGAAAAATTCAAAATGGCCACCACGTAGTTTACCCAGCATGCCCTTAACCTAATCAGATCTTGGCACTAGTCTGCTATTGCATGTGTAAAAATTTCAAGTTGAACAGGTTAGCGGTTTTCTTGGAATTTTGATGACAAGAATTGATTTGTAGTCTCAAACTTTGAGGAACTTGGATAACATCATTTGTGACCTAGTTTAATGACCTTGACTTTCGACCTTGAAAATTTCACTTTTTCAGACCTCAGTAGGTGTTTTGTAATTAAGCTGACCTAAATTTAAATCCAAAATATCAATTTAAAAATCAACTTTTTTGACCTTTTCAAGGTCACTGAAGGTGAATGAAAGGTCAAATCCGAAATCTAAGGTCAGATTTGAACTTCGGAGAACTTGTAGATGTTTTTAAAAAAAAAATTGGTCAATTTGGAGCATCTTGAAAAATTCAAAATGGCCGCCAAATTCAAAAATTCAAAATGGCCACCATGTAATTCAGCCAGCATACCCAAAACCTAATCAGATCTTGGCAATAGTCTGTTCTTGCATCTGTAAAAATTTCAAGTTGAATGGATAAGTGGTTTTCCTGGAATTTTGATGACAAGATTTGTTGAAAAATTCAAAATGGCCGCCACATAGTTTACCCAGCATGCCCTTAACCTAATAAGATCTTGGTACTAGTCTGCTCTTGCATCTGTAAAAATTTCAAGTTGAACAGGTAAGCAGTTATCCTGGAAATTTGATGACAAGATTTGGTTTATGTCCCGCCCGCCCGCACGCCCACACACCCAAACGCCCGCACGCCCGCCCAACAGCACAAGACGACGACAATATAGCACTTTTTCAAAGTGCGATAAAAATGCATAAAACTATCTATCCAAGTCATATGTACACTACAATGAGAGCGAAAACACTTCAAACTCTAAATTAATGGAAATTCAGGTACCCATTCATCATTGTCATTGGTGCCATCGCTGTCATTGTGGATATCATCATCATCATCATTTTCAACCTCTAATATTGTCAATCTCAGAATTATGTATTTAAACTGTACATACATGAATTGATTGAATTGACTTCAAAGCCAGCAAATGATATAGATAATAACAAACCTTTGAACGTTCCATTTTATTCTCAATGCCAAATATCTCCTGTAACAGGTAACACAGTCCGTCAACCATCTGTTTCTGTTTGAAAGGTTTAAGATTGAAGCCTCCATCTGAAGTTCTCTCAATGTTACACACAGTTGTATGTGAGTGACCGACATGATCAGCTAAAATAACAAAATAAATTGTGATTGCAATATACAAAGAGGCTATTTAATGAGGTGGATGGAATATTCTGAGGGAAAATATGATATTCGCCAAGGAGAATACCATATTGACCTAGGATGACAGCCTCAGTGTCAATATGATACTTTCCTTGGCCAATATCATATTTTCTTGAGGAAAAAATCATATTCCACCGCGACCAACAATATATCCTATTATATTTATTCCATAATACTTTTTCTGAAACTTACTCATTTTCAAGTTTGATTTGTCATCAGTCAATGATGGTGAAAGAAAATGATACAATTTGATTATCATATAACATTTTCAATTTTTATTGACAAGTTTTAAAATTAGCCACAGATTTTTACAAGGGTCTTTGAATAAAAAGCTTACATACCTTCATCTTCTACTATGCAGTGAATCACAACTGGAAAAATGTCCTTCTCACCATTGTAAATCCACTGAAAATATTATAATATTATCAAATATTGATTTATTGTTAATCCAGGGGAGGTAGTGCAATTAAAGTATCGGTCATATAAGAAATATCTAGCAATATACTTTTTATTCAGGCTAGGTACAATATATAGAGTACATATAAAGTACATATAAAATAATATCAAAATTCCTAAATTCATTGTTGTAACAGAGAGTTCCAAATTCACAGTTGTTTCATTGCCAATGAATTTTGAAAAAAGTGGATTGACTGCTAATTGATCGAATTTAATATCAAGTTTATCATTATTTTGGTAAAAGTTTGCTTTGGAAAACCCAATTACTCTGAAAGGGATATACCATTTATAACTTGTAGCAATCATAGAAATTGCAAGTTAAACACCAAACTGTTGTAATTCAATAGTGTTCATTATTAAATTGGTGTAAATGAAGTCCAGCAAAACACGTGTAGTTAGAACACTTTTGGTAATAAAGTGTTGGGAGTTGTTCCACGTACAGAGGTTCATTTTGCCACGGGATTCTGAAGTGTTCCACTTATTTAGCTTTTCAACTAATAAAGGTGTTCCACTTTACATGTTTCATATTCAAATTCAAGCTATGCCAAAGGGTTGCTGCTGAACTGATTTATATGGGAAAAACAAGGTTAGTCAAAAAAGATATTGGAGCATTGTTATCATTGGCATTTTCAGATTTATAACCTTTGTATACTTACGTCATCTTCATTGTATTTACTGGGGTTTATAATGTGCGTTGTCTGATTGAAGACTTGATTGGCTCCTCGCTTGAAATGGAATGTCTCAGAATTCATACTAGCATCTTTTGGATGGTATCTATAACAAAAATTTTGTAAAGTCCAAAGTCGTAGCACTCGCATTATGTATATTCAGGATTCGTTTCAAAAAAATATATATGGAGTGAAACTAAATAGTATTGAAAACATTGGAATTGAATAATGTGTTATGTAACCATCATGATAAGACCTCTTTCCACCTAAAATCTTGACATAAGAATAGCAAAGTTTAGAGGGTTTGGTAGATTTGCATGGTATGGACTTACGAGACTTGTCCATTACTCATTTCCTCTGTGGCAAAGTAATAAACTGTTATGGCACATCGAACATCTGTATCAAATGTAAACTCGATATTATAGGAGATGTTATCATCTACTGGTGGCACCTCAGTTGTTTCCGAATCATCATCCTTATCAACTCCCTTTTTCCGTTCCTCCTTTTTCTTATCATCTTTCTCAAGGTTACGATCTTCTGATTTATCTTTAGAGTGCGATCTTTTTGGCTTTTTTGAGGATGAATTTGGGTTCTTGGGGGATGTCTTTGGCTTGACGACAGGTGCAGGCGCACTAGCATTGTCATCCTCCTCAACCCTGGGAACAAACAGAATTTCAATATGATGAATTAGTCACAACAAAAACCATGATTGTATTCTAAATGATTTTGACTTGAATAAAACAAATTGATTTCTAAATGATTTCGACTTGAATAAAAAGATTTTGGCAATGTTCTTCACTGTACTTTATAGATTCTCGAATTCAAGAAATGTATGAAAAAACGAGAATGAAAAGATGAAGGGGTAAAATCATTCCAGCGGTTCAGCGGTCCATTTGTAATGGACAAACCAAAACTCTGGCAACAATTATGGCCAGTTGACAGGATTTAGCTAAAAGTCCAATGAGTGCTGCTAGATGAACCATATATACATGCATGATTCATTAAAGCATTGTTAACAGCTTACCTGACAAGTTTGACAGAATCCTTGCGTATGTTGACTAGACTTTTTAATGTTTTAGTTGGCTCATTAGGCTGAGGGGCTGGGTATGGGAACTGAAACAAAACAGAATAGTATTTCAAACAGCGGGAGAGTATACTGCATTTCATAAAATTCCAGATATTACATATTACTGAACCAATAATTTATTTACATGAAATGTACATGTTATCAATTTCAATTTTTTTCAAAGTTTTTATTAATGATATCCTTACTTTCCTTTATTATTCAGCCTTAAATTTATTTATTTTAGATTTTTTTTTGATAATTATTACATCCATTTAAGGTTAAATAATTAATATAGTTACCATAGCAATAGCATAGACTTACAGGTATTGGTCTGTTTCCCAAGAAGTTTAGATCTGAGCTGTCGCCGAACAGGTAAGCCTCAGGCTGAGGAGTGTCAAACCTCTCTCCTCCCATAATAAAATGACTGCCAAAATAATTGCCTGCAAATATTTATACACAAAGATTGAAACCGTCATCATCCAATGCCAAGATCATTGTGACATCATTATGAGTATGTTCTTGAGTGACCCCAAAAATACAGCCTACTTGCTTACAGTGCTTTATGTAAATTCCCTTAAGTGTCCATCTGTGTACTAAGGTTTCAATTGACTAACTGGCAATACCTAGAAACCTTGACTATATGCATGTGCAAGTTAGCTAAACACTAAGAGTTCCAAGATTACTCGATAAATCATCTTGTTTGGGTTTGGTGAAGATACAAGCATACATCAGTACCAAGTATCAAATACTGATTCTTCAAAATATTGTTAACATACCTCAAAGTCCTCATATATTGTTGAAATTATTTGAATATTTGACTTTCAGAAATAATTTCTATTTAATTTGGTTGTTCACTAGTGACATGCCCTTAATTTTCTGTCAGCCAAAGTACGAACAAATTAGTTGTTACTTCTTTGTCTTCATAATTCAACGTACTAGCTCTTATTTAAAATACTTTTGTGATCAGACACCTACAGGCCCCAACTTTATAGAAAACAAAGAGTAAGCAGTTTTTCAACATGTAAATGTTCTTATTGGATTCTAGTTCAACAAGTTAAACTCAATGTTTAAGATTTTCTTTATTATTCTGATTTTTCTTAGCTGTATATTGAGTTTAACTTCCAAGCTATTCAGCCATGCAATGCAAACGATTCCACATAACACATAACATTTTGCGTTTAATATTCATTTATAATAGTTAAATGTGGCTGTTGTAATCAATTTCTGAAATGTATATTTTGATTCAATGGCGTTTTTTAGTGTTTCAATGCTTTATTGAAACAATTCTTAATTTGCCATTTAGTATTACTGAAACCTGAACAGACCTTTTCAAAGCAATCTCTAATTAATCTTGAAAATGTACAATATCGAGGACACAGGGAGATATGGGATCATGTATTCATAAGGTATGTGTGCTTGCTTGGATCTCATAATATTTAAAGAGTAACAACACAAATACATAACTTAATTACAAGCGCTGACCGTTATTATGCTAGCATATCAGTGTCAGGGCTGTCAACTTGGGACCACCTAATATGAGTGACTTCAAAATGTTGGACACCTAAGTCCAAATCTGAACACTTTTGTCCAAATTTTGAACACCTTTAGCCAACTTTTAAACACCTTTGGCCAAAGTTTGAGCACCTTGGCCAAACTTTGAACACCTCAAATTTTTCGCGCTCGCGATGTCGTCAACGGGGGGGGGGGGGGGGGGGGGGGGGGGGGGGGGGGGGGGGAGGTACGAAAAATTTCCAATGAACATGCGTGACACATACGGGATTCGCGTGACAAATCCGAACAAATTGCGTTCGGTTTTTTCCGGCGTTCGTATTTTTACCGTATCGTAAACATATTTCGAAAAAATTTCTACAGAAATATTTTTGCGTGACAATTACCAGGTAAAATGCGTATTTTGCGTGACATTTTCTGTCACGCAAAAAAAACTGGCGTGACTTCAAATTCTTCAGCAAATGCGTGACAAATACGCAAATTGCGGGACAGTTGACAGGCCTGCAGTGTCAATGGGTCAAATATATATCAGATAAGAAACAAGGCCCAGAGACTATGTTTAATTTAGTTGAACCATAGATGTATGTTTATATACGTCCATGGTTGAACTAATCAGATTCTCAATTTGTAAGTGAACATGTATAGTAGGCCAACATGGTGGCATAAAGCACCACAATTGGATATAAACAAACAAACAGACAAACATGTTTGATCGCATTCATCATCATCATTTGGATACACGATTGATCAATTTTACTGATCATTATATCGCGGGTTAGTACGAGAAAGTTAAAACATGAACATCAACACAAGTTCATGAGCTAAAAACAGTGTTAGGTAGTAAAAAGCTAAAACAATAGGTTAAAAGACAGTATAAGATTAAGGCATGGGTGTAAGGTAGTGAGCCCTTAGACTAGTCTTGAACTGGTCTAAGCTCTCTGCCAATACAATGCTGTCAGGTAGTATATTCCACTCAGGTATGGTGCGTGGGAAAAAGGAATGGAGCATTGCATCCTTCCTGCAACTGTACCTCTGGAAGCTCTCACTATTTGAAGTCCTTGATCTGCGCTGGAGAGGCATGAGGTATGTGTCTGGTTGGATTGCAACAAGTTGTTGTTTGATCTTATACATCATCGTCAACCGTTGTTGCTGTCTCCTCGTTTCAAGTGGTGTCCATTGTAGTGTATTCAGCATTGTTGTCACTGAGCTGTAACGGCTGTAGTCATTCATCACATAGCGTGCAGCTCTTCGTTGGACCATTTCTAGTGCAGCTATGTGGGTTTGGGTGTGTGGATCCCATACAGCAGCAGCATACTCCAGTCTTGGTCTTACTAGAGTAAAGTAAGCCATCTGCTTTGTGTGGCGAGGGGCCTTCCACAGGTGTCTTCTCAGCATGCCAAGAAGTTGGTTGCTCTTGGATATAGACTTGTCTATGTGCTGGTTCCATTTGAGGTTGTCTTGTAAGGTAACACCAAGGTAGCTAGCAGATGGTATATGCTCCAAGGTGTGTCCACTCATTTCATACTTGTAGATTTTGGGATTCAACTTGGCAGACAATGCAGTACATTTGTCAGGATGAAACTTCATCAGCCAAGTTTTCTCCCATTCTACAGCTGCATTCAGATCTTCTTGCAGAAGAGTGGCATCTTGTGGTGTCTTAACTTCTCTGTAGATGATGCTGTCATCAGCGAATAATCGGAGGGTTGTATGTTGTAGAGTATCTGGGAGGTCGTTAATATACAGCAGGAATAATATCGGTCCCAATACTGTTCCCTGTGGCACGCCAGATGTTACCTGTCCGATTTCAGATGAAGCACCATCCACAATGACTTTCTGGGTTCTATCAGACAGAAAGTCAGAGATCCAGGCATTGGTTTGTCCTCTGATGCCATAGTAGTCAAGCTTATAAGCAAGATGACGGTGAGAGACCTTATTAAAGGCTTTAGCAAAGTCCATTATGATAACGTCTATCTGCTTGTTGGCATCATTGGCTGAAACAAGATCATGATAGAACTCAATAAGCTGCGTCTCACATGACCTTTTCGACCTAAAACCGTGTTGTAGAGGATATAGTATTCCTTTGGTTTCAAGGAATGACATCATGTTGCTAGTGATGATGTGTTCTGTCAACTTGCAACAGATACAGGTCAGAGACACAGGTCGGTAGTTGGATGCCTTGTATCGCTCTCCCTTTTTGAAGACTGGCACGATGTTCGCAGCCTTCCAATCCTTTGGTACTTTGCCATGGTTTAAGGAGCGCTGAATGATGGTTGTTAAGGATGGAGATATCTCGTTAGCCAGGGTCTTCAGTACTCTACTCATTGAGATGCATCGTATCGTATTTCTATACCACTTAGACTATCTAGTCATAGATGCACTTCATTGTTGTCTTAAGACGACAAGGAATTTACTATTTGCCTTGCTACTTTTGGTGATTTGACTTTGACTTGACTCTTGAGTGTTTTGAAAAATTTAGCCCAAAAATCATCAAAAACACTATATATTCATTCATACCTGATTGTGGTGGGTATTTATAAGCATTATTCCCTTGTATATCGACCTCTTGGACCCCTCTATGTCGTCGAGTTGCAATATTTCCCATCTTGCGAAGAAATATATCGTAAAACTAACTTATTGTAAAGTTTTACAATCTCAACATTTGGACTTCCTGTTCAAGATGGCGTAATGACGTCACGTGTTGAATTTCCCGGGGACTTTTTTAGAAAATTGATAATGTTCTAAAAGTTCACTCTCTAACTGAAAATTGAAATTTGAGATGTGTTGTCGTACTCACAATGTCGATCTTTTTGCTGAAACAAAAGCAACGAAATTAGATTCGAAATATAAATATCTTTAGAAGCACTAAACGAAACAATAGGATCCTTAGACTGTTACAGGGAGTAAAATCATAAGACAAAACAGCTTTGTTTTGTCCACAAACTAAGTGCTTATCCACGCCCTTTAAAAGGAGATAGACCAATCAGAAAAGCCAAATTTCTTGGTTTCTGTCAATCAAACTAAGCTGTTCTGAACGTTCCAACACAACAAAAACACGAGGAATCAACATTCAGTTTGTTGATATTTTTACCTCAAAATGGACAACGATCTCAGGCAGGCAGCTCTTATAAATCAGTTTGTAATGGCTGCCGGATGTCCCAGGGAACAGGCTTACACATTACTCAAGACGGCACAATGGCAATTTGAGGTAAATATCGATGTTTTTCACGAGAAATTTGAAAATCATGGCGTGATTTCCAGTGACCTACATTTCAACATTGTTTTGGTTTAGATTATCGGTGTAACAGCTTGATTATGGCACTTCTGATGGTGTTATTTCTCTTTCAGACGGCGCTTAGTATGTTCTTTCAAGAAGCAACAATCCCAAACTGTAGGAATTTCAATGGAAATCACACAAACAATCATTACTCGGTAGGTGCAATGCTTTCGTTTTCCTCCATGTTGAAAACATGACATCATCATGCCAATTTTGGATGACCTTTCACATGTTCATTGGAACTAAAGTTTATAATTGACTGATCTATAGATTGCACCAATTTATCATATATTCCACCTATCGACTATACATCTGTTGTGTAAACAAAGAGTAGATGAGATGGATGTTGGAAGTAGACTATATTTTTTCCAAAAATAGACTTTGATCTTGGAGATTTCGAAATCCTGTAAAGATCTAGAAATGAACATCATCTGTTATGTCACTATGGATGGTGTAGCATGCACTGTCTTCTGTCATCTTAACCGAAGATTGGTCCTTGTTCCCGGCTTATTCATCAGTAGAGATCAAATTCTAGGTCTGAATGATTATTTTCTGTTAGATAACAGGAAATGAGAAAGGGATCTCAAAACATTACGTAATGCTGTTATACTAAGGAGTTGTCATGTTGTTATCCCTTAATACAATTTGTATAGAAATGATGTTTGCTTCCTCGAGTCTCTAGCCAATTCTTGGCTAGAATTCCATCCGGAACACCGTGAACAATTGTAGAATTTATAGCCGGGGTTCAATAAATTTAAGTCATATTCTAAAAACTGTCATGTTAATATTTTTCATGAATTGAAATGGTAATAGGATTGTCTTGTTGATGTGATATTGAACATTTTCATTTAAAATAGAAGTCGTCCCATTTTTGTCTGTTCTCAATAAGCTTACATATAGATGGCAGCCTAGTTGACAGGAAAATGGTGGAAATCTCCGAAATTTTATTTCACAATAAAAAAAAATATCATGCAAAATGGACGATTCTATGAACTAGTACTGCATGTAAAGATCAATGAGTTTTATTATGTTTACATCAATAAAAGACAGCCAGGCAATTAAAGGCAAATTCAAAACAACAGTGTCTTATTTATATTCTATGGCCACACTCAGTAGTGGTAAATGGTAAATGTTTGTCATCCCTGTATATAAATTATAAAACATATTGTCATTCCTTTATATAAATTGTTGTTATCCCTGAATAAAAATCATAAACATGATGTCATTTTAGATCACAAATCATGAAACAATTTGTCAACCCTCGATATAATCTAAAAATAGTTTTCCCTTGAATGTAACCCTAATTACTATTTGCATATGTTGTCACATAAATCATAACATTCACTGTCATCGTTGAGTACAAACAACAAACATAAATATAGGTTGTTATCCTTAAAAATACATAAATTTTTGTATGTTATGTTATCCCCTGAATTTAAAACATCTAATAGTATTGGTCTTATTTGAATATAACTGACAAAAAAGTCATAATAGTCAAAATAGTCAAAATGGTCTCTTTAAAGATTTTTATCAAACACCTTATTGACATTCAAGTAATAAAAGTAATATCACAGGCTGGTATTGAAAAATCATGCTCCATCACAGTGGACAAATCTTTCGACACCCAGCCTGTGAATATAAGAATTTCAAAGAAGTCAAGTGATATTCATCATTATTATATCACTATCTAGCTAGCGACAGTATGATTGGTCAAAACCGTGTCACATGTCGTGGGATATCTGGCGATATTCAATGGCAATGCTAATCAGATAAGACAACCGTTAGATATCTAGCGATATCCCACGCTCCCGGGAATTTTCAAAGAATTTGTTTTCGTTCAGTGTAAATAATTTAGTTCAGCGTAAGTCAAAATGGCAGACGAACCGAGTAGATTCAATCTATTTCAATGTTAACCTATGACTTAATAATATTAGGGATGTTTAGCTAGACAGTGATATAATAAAACAAATATTTCACTCTATTTTCGGTGAATATATACCTGTAGCACTTTCACAAGGTGATATTCCACTTGCCCTTCGGGCTTCGTGGAATATCACTTGTGAAAGATGTACAGGTATTCACCTCAATAGAGTGAAATATTTGTTCAGTAATAAGAAATAATGAAAAACATGTTGAAAATGATATTCTCATGGCCTCATAATGTGTGATTGGCAATGATTTGACTTTTAGCAATAATGGGATTCACACAGTACTGGTGATAAATGCAATTATTAGTATTGGCTTATGCACTGTCACAAAGGTCAGTGTTGTATAAATGTACATAATGCTCACATATATAATGCTATCATTTGATTAGGTAACCATAAACTAGATTATTATATGCAGCCATTGAGCTTGAAGGTCAGTGGCCTTATGCCAGCTAGGCCTTAATGTCACCAACTAGGTATTAGTTTATAAAATTGGCCAATAAGTTCCCAGGTAGGCCTTGCTGTTAGCAGCTTTGCCTAAATGTTACCAGCTTGAATTTCAAGTCACCCACACAGCTTTAGTGTTACCAGCTAGGTATTGATATCAAATTTCATGGGGAATTGAACATTCAGTCCATAACCCAATAAGCAACTCAAGGCAACTCAAAAAGTGGTCGCCAGTTGCAGAGTTTTGAAATCTGAGTCAGTGCTCAAATAAATAGAATCGAGTATATTCAAGATAAGGCCATCATAAATATGAGAAGCGTTCTTAATTTTATATTGACTTTTTGAATTTGTGTAGATGAGCTGTCTGTCTATCCATCTATCAATATGTTTTGACCATTATTATTATTTACTCAAAATGTCCAACTATTTGCTTGAAACATATAATAGTAAATAATCATTAAAATATATATATAACAATGTAATTCAAGCTTTGTTCTATAACTGATAAAAAAACAATGTAGACGTTGATCAGATGAAATGTTGTTTTTTGGCTCACACAGTGAGCCTTATGGGATTGACTAGTTACTGTTTCTTTAGATTGATATCAGATGAAGATAATTAATGTTAATTGTTTTGTTGAAATATTACCAATTTCCCTTCTTAGACTTGCTAATTATGATAATTGAAATTATATAAAAAACTCTTGTTATGCAGATCTACCTTTAATTGTGGTGATAACATGTACTCGAGGTCCTTTTATTAAACCCCTCAACAAGTTTGATGGTAGGGAAGTTTTTTGTCTTTATATCAGGAACCAAGCTAATTATACCTACGATTATCTTCTCTTTAAAGGTGCAATAATTAGTGCAGAGGGGTCATTCAGCGATCATGGACCAGTGTCAAAATATATTTAAGTTTGGATTACTCACTTCGAGAGCCATGTTAGATTTTGAAACTTATGGCTCTCAAACGGAGAAGTGAACAGCTGATCAATAGTGACCTTTGAAATCAAATTAAGTCGATCCGCGGCTTACTTTTGGTCTCTAACTGTGTCTTACATCAGTATCATCAATCCGTGTAAGTATTGGAGCGCTGGAGTACTTCTTTTTCGATCAAGACTTGTAAATTGTTCATCGAGTTAAAGTTTTATAGACCTATTTCCAATATGGCGGTTTGCTAGGTGATACGCAACGAACGAAATGAATTTTGAGAATTAGTTAGGTTCGGACAACCTCCGGAGATTTACGAAAATGTCCGAGCAGAAACCGCCATATTGGAATTTGGCAGTAAAACGATTCACTCGACTAACAATTACAAGTCTTGATCGAAAAAGAAGTACTCCAGCGCTCCAATACTTACACGGATTGATGATACTGATGTAAGACACAGTTAGAGACCAAAAGTAAGCCGCGGATCGACTTAATTCGATTTCAAAGGTCACGATCATTGAGCTGTCCAAATGCTCCGTGGGAAAGCTATTATATCAAAATCCAAATAGCTTTCGCAGGAAGTAAAGTTTGGATATTTCATCAAGACTAACATATATTTTTATTATCTACAAAGAAACCCCCTAGATAAACATTATTTTAGCTGATATTCCTCTTGAAACATGGTGGATCTTAAAAATATAAAAGTGGAAGTCCCCTTTTTGAAGCTTTGAACTGAATTTACACTTCTTAATGCTGAAATTGATAATTTATCCATACATTTTAAGAAAATAGGTATGTCAAAGAAGATGTTAAACCAAATGTTGCCTTAATAGCTCAGAAAAAATGAAAAAACTTTCCTATTTTCTCTACAGTCCTTATTGCCCCTTTAATTTTCCATTTTACTTTATAACTAGAAATAAGAGATTTTGAAATGATGTAGTTAACTAATGCTACACCAGAAATATTGTGATAACCTTTGTTTTTATTATACTATGCATTGATAAAAGTACACTAGCAGCACTGAAGTTTAACCTTCATTTGTAAGATCAATACAGATGATAAAAAGCTGTCCAGTTCAAGGTTTGTGTGTTTTGCTTTTTATATTTAGATCATGTCATCCTACAATAAGGTGATAAATGAAACAAAGTTGCTCAAGGGTTCTGTGTTTTTTGCCAAGAACCTGCCTCCATTTTGATAAATATTTACAGTATTTGCATGGATGAGTACTGATATAAGTCTCTGTTATGATTTCTGGCAGCAGTTGCCAATGTTTTAATTCTTTGGATATCACTTTTCTTGAGTTCCTGT